TAAAACTTGTAATAAAACTAAAAATGAGTCCCTGGTGTAGACCTAATGCATCGAGACTCTGGATAAAACAGAACCAAAATATTACATATATACAAGTTACAAATATAAGCAAAAATAGAACGAGATATTAGAAAAGGACTAAAATGTATGAAAAATACATAAATAGTACTAAAACAAAAAATATGTCTCTGGTGAGCTATTCTAACCTGCTGCAACGAGACTCAGAATAAAACAGAAACAAAAAAAATATCTAAAATATTTTTAAAAGAAAAAAGATTGCAAAATTTCAAAGTAAAAGTCTTTTAGTGTAGAATAGTCGACTGAGAAAATGTATACAAGTTGTAAATATAAGCAAAAAAAAATAGAACGAAATCGAAATTAAACTAAAAATGAGTGTATCTTGCGCGGGTGTGATGCAACGCTACAAGACTTTGAAACGAAAAATTACTTACCCATATTTACTGTAAAATACTTAACTGACTAGGAACTATTTTTCTTGCTATGAAACTAGAATAATATTTAATTCTCCAAATTTCAATATTTATTTCAATGTCTAGTAGTAATAGTTTCCTATTACTCTACAAATGGATCGTTAGATAGTAGTTTTCTTGTAATTATATAAAGATTATCAAGATACATTAAAAACCACATTAGATTCAGTAGATATCATATTCATATTAAATGAATTTACTGTTACGTTACAAAATTATTATTAAATTAAATTAAATTATTGGGAAACAATCTAATGCTCAGAGCTACTAAATTTACTAGTCAAAATTTTTTACACTTTTCACTATAATCAAATCATACAAAGTCCAAACCGCCCGAAAAAGGTCTAGTTAAATACATTGGTGTCCAAACAGCTTAACATATTGTAGAATAACTAGCGACACTTTTCATCATTAAAAGCATTGTCAAAATATAATTTTTACGCTGTTCGTACGCATATATCTTTCCCCAAGAAATTTGTCCATATAAACAAACCAAAAATGACTGTATTGGATAAGGAATAGTTAGTTAAGAAATTACCACCAAGATAAAGTTTAATATCTATGGATAACGATAAAAGATCATGGTGCTATACAGTTGTGAAATTTAGCGATTTACCGAAACTAAAGAATCGTAAAAGAAGACGGAGTAAATAGGTTAACTACCACTGACTCATATTGTAGGACAGGGTATCAAAGATTAAAACATTTTTTACACCGAAACATGCAAATATTCTTTATAAACCAAACGTGGGAAGGAAACCTGTAAATACAGACTATGCAAAAGTACAGTAGCTCTGAAAAGACATTTTAAAACTTTGAATATTGTCAATGTTTATTTAAATCATAAATTTTCAAAACAATTTTAATAATATGTAAAAAAGGAATTAGCCAGACATTTTTAAGATTTGAATGTTGAATTTGGTATTTTTAAGCTGTATGTAAGCATTGAAACTGGCCTCATTTTCAATTTGTTCTAACAACTTTGCCATATTGACACCTGAGCTAGTTGAAGTCGAAATAGGATGATTGAAATTGTCATTAAATGCTACAATACGAATTCTGTCGCCCTTTTTGTAACCAATTTGTTTTTTTATGTCGTTAAGAGTAGCCTCTAATGTATTTTTCAAAGAGTCGTGATTAAGGGCGTTACCTACATAGGTTTTTCCAACATAGCTGGAAAGTGCACTGATGAGCGTTGCATTTTTTAATTTCTCGATGATTTATTATATTACAAGACCACGCCATCTTGAGGTACGTCTGAACACTGTGGGTGTTCAAAGTAGAATGAATAAGCTACTCCCTTGTAAGTCCTTAATATCAATAAGTATTCCATCAATACTAATATTTTATTAATAATGTACATGTACATCATAATATTATTCATATCGTCTTTCACCATTACGAAGATAACCTATTCTACTTGAAGTGTAGTTTTTCTGCGTATTGTTATTTGGCGGGGTCCATTTATTGATTATATTTTGGAGCCCTTTATTAACCAAAATTTTCTTATTGCTAACTCTTTTTATGCAACTCTTCTTCTTTTCTAATTTAACGTTCTAATAATGCTGTGATATTTTTCGGGTGAATCCTGGTATCTCAACTTTCCAGATGTATCCCTGTGTACATCCCTAATTTGCAGTAACCTTTTGTACATTTGATGATCTTGAGGCATACAATTTTTAGGATTTTTGTAGAATAACTGATTCTGAAGGCCTTCTGTTTTCAGAAACTTTTCTCCATCTATTAGTATATTATCATTTTAAAATATTAAAGTCTTTTCTCCTAGTTTCCATTTTTCATCACTCAGACACTCAGGCCCAAAGATAAAGTCATATTCTTCTACCATAGTCACGTCTTACTCAATCAGCTATCAAACACAAATGATCTAAAAACATTACGTAGCTACATATTAGCAGGTGATTCTTTATAAACTGTTTTTTACTATTGTGTTTTAATTTACGTTACAGTTTTTTAGTTCTATGATTGCTGTTGATATATCTTCGTCTGTACGTCTCGATTTTTCGTCTAAAAGTCTTTTAGCGTTGCATCAGACCCGCACCAGATACATAGATTTATAGTTTAATTTCGATTTCATTCTATTTTTTTTTGCTTATATTTACAACTTGTATAAATTTTCCCAGTCAAGTTATTCTAAACTAAAGGAGTTACTTTGGAACTTTGCAATCTTTTTTCTCTTAAAAACATTTTAGATATTTTTTTTGTTTCTGTTTTATTGCGATAATTGTTTGGTAAATTTACCTCTCGAAGGTACTCGATAACGGTTCTTGCGACGTGTGGGCGTGCATTGTCATGCATTAAAACAAAGTCATTACCAATAAATGGGGCGTAAGGAACAACATGCATCAGTAAAAATTTCTCTAATGTACCTATCAACAGTTAAGGATCCTCCATCTAGCTGTACCTATTCGGTTTTACCCCTAAGAGATATATCCTCCTCCAAAGTTTGTCGCCGGTCTTAGGTTGCATTGAAATAACGCTCGCCATCTCGTCTATAAATTGGTATTTTTCGATCCGAAGGGTATAAATAAAATCTTGACTCATCCGTAAAGAGTATGTTACCCCAGTCGTCAATATTCCATTTTATGCGCTTTCTTGGAAATGTTAGACGTGCTATACGGTGTTCCCTTGTAAGTCTCGGGCCAGTGGTAGCTACTCTGGCCCTAATTCCAGACTGTCTTAAGATGTGCCTAACAGTTTCTGAAGATACACCTACATTTCGAGTCTCTGCTAAGTCATGTTGAAGTTGACTTGCAGTCACATGTCTTCGACGCAAAGTCTGAAAGACTAAAAATCTATTGTCCACATGCGTAAATGCTCTTGACCGACCTGTCCTCTTGACAGCTCGTCTTTTATAAAGGTTCTCTCGGTACCTTACTACCACTCGTGATACTGTCGACTGATTTACACCAACTAAATTTGCTGCATATCTCTGACTCCTTCCATCTTCAATGAGGGAAATTATTCTAACCACTTGATCTCTCGTTAAATTTAAAT